CACCATGGAAATTTGTCCTGCTTTAAATAATCTACTAATCCTTTCTTTTAAAAGGGTAACCTAAAGCAATCATTCAATTAGTTGCAGATTTTAGAATTTGGTCGATTGTAATCAGCAAATGGGACAAAAGAAAAGAAAAAATCAAAAAAAGTCAACGCCCAATTGAAAAAAAAGGAAAATTTTATATTCATCTTATATCTTTATTTGCTATTTTAAGTTCACAGCATGTAAAAGGGGATATGAATTATGGTGCCAGCCTCTATTTGAAGATGAAAAATACCTTATAAGAACGTGTGTGAAAAACACTGCTGACATTTCAGAGCAACTCTCACAATTTTTAGAAAAAAAATGGTGGTGTTTGAAAACAAAAGAAGAATAAATCAAGCAACAGTAGTCGTGACCTATTTGAGATACATGAATAGAGCAAACTGAAGGAAAAAATTAGGGGAAAGGGGAAAATTAAAAAGAAAACTGTTGGCGTCTGCTATATTGAAATGACATTTTGGGTTATCTCCAAATATTTTCCACATCCTCCATCTGTAAGAGGCGAAATTGATATATACCAATCCAGTTGCTATCGGAGAGCGGTGGTTAGAGATAAATATTGAGTATTCACTGAATCAATTGTTCAGACTGCCAAATTGGATAGACCCATGGCTGATTTATCACTGCTATTTCAGCTACCCCAAAACAAACTCAGATGGCCTCGAGTGCGTCAAATTATAGGCTTCAAGACAATAGAGGATTTAGGGTTTGAACCCAAAATATTAGGGGGGCGGGTGCGGACGCCTTTACTCAAGAATTCGACCCCCTGCCGACCAACAGGGTCCCCCTTTGTACTAGTTTGAGCCTTTTTTTCAAAAAATCGACAAAATTTTCAAAATTTTTTCAAAATCCGCCTCGAGAAATTCCTTAGATCCGCGCCTGCTTCAAGATTTAAAAAATGCGGGAAAAGGGGAAGGTCGGTGCAACTGCGTCCCAGACAATCATGTCCCAAAATAAATTGTCCGAAAAAATACAGACAAAACATCCACAGACATTTGTGCCCCAGAATTGTCCGCCAAGAAATGGCAAAGTTCTTGCACGGTCAAATGAAGGCCTATCATAATTCAGCAATTATAAATAACTCTAAGTTGTGCTGGACAGGGACACAATCGGGACACAATTTTGTCGTGGTGAATTTTTCGGACTATTTTGTTAAGGACACAATCGTTTGGGACACAGATGTAAAAAGGTCTATGTACACAGATGTAAAAAAAATAGCTATGCGGTAAAAAAGGTCAAATTCATTTGGCTCGCTTAGCCTTTAAGCACTGAGGTAAAATTGCATTTCGCATTGAAGTCAGACGACTAAAAACCAATTGAAAACAGCATGAACTGATGAAAAAGGATGCATGTTTGATTAAAAAACTTCGATAAAGAAATGAAATTAGTTTGTGACTATCCATCAAAAAGCAACTAAATGCCCCGGAAAACAATACACAGTGGCAGAACATGAGCCTACACTAATAGCATGCTTTCGTGTTTCCACAAGATTCTTTTTTGACTAAGAACGATCGAATTAATTAATACTAGCGTTTAACGCACCTTCGGTGCTTCGAAATTTTTCGACAACTCATGAAAAACCGCATATATTGGAAACAACATCTGTAAAATTTTAGTGTACTCTGACTGCACCCAATTACAGGGTTGGTAACTTCGAACTTTTAAAAGCGTCATCTCGAAAACTTAATGGGCCTCTGGAGAAATTTGGAGGCCAGATTTACAACCACTGAGAGTCCCTGAGAGCACTCTACTATAGGGTTAGGAATCCAAAATTTTGTGAATTTTTTAAACCTAAGTTTCCCGAAAAAAAAATTGAAAAAAAAACGTCTTATCTCAGAAAATAGAATGATTCGAGCATTCATATTAAGAGGCAATATTTGAAACGCCTGGGTGTACGCTGAAAATAAGGTTGTATCTTCATCAAGTTAGTAGTTTCAAATTTTTTGAATTTCTTTGTAGATAAGTTCTTTGGCAAATTTTGAAAAAATCAAAAAACGTCACATCTCGGAAAACTAAAAGCATTTGAGCAGTCGCGTTTAGAAGTCGCATGTGGCAAGATTTGCAACTCTTTAGAGTACCCTGACAACACCGAACTATAGCGTTGGGAATTTCAAATTTTGAAAAACTAATAATAATTTAAGTTTTCTGAAAAAATTTGAAAAAATCACAAAAAACGTCATATCTCGAAAACTACAAAGAATTGAGCAGTCATATTTGGAGGCAAGATTTGTAATCCTTGAGAGTACTTCGACAGAACCTAACTACAGGGTTGGGAATTTCAGATTTTTAAAAACTAATAATAATTTAAGTTTTCTGAAAAATTTTGAAAAAATCACAAAAAACGTCATATCTCGAAAACTACAAAGAATTGAGCAGTCATATTTAGAGGCAAGATTTGCAATCCTTGAGAGTACTTCGACAGAACCTAACTACAGGTTGGGAATTTCAGATTTAAAAAAAAAATTTAAGTTTTCTGAAAAATTTTGAAAAAAATCACAAAAAACGTCATATCTCGAAATTTACAAGGATTTTAACAGTCATATTTGGAGGCAAGATTTGTAACTCCTTAAGAAAACTCTGACATTACCCAACTACAGGTTTGGGAACTTCAAGTTTTGAAAATTATTTTATTTGAGATTTCTGAAAACTTTTGAAAAAATCTCAAAAATCGTCTTATCTCGTTAAATAAAATGATTCGGGCATTCAAAATTGGAGGCCAAATTCGCAACCCCTAATTCGATATTGGGCTGCTTAATTTAAAATCGGTAAAATAACCACTAAAATCAAATTGGAAAATCGAAAAAAATTCGAAAAATCGAAGAAAAAGAAGCTTAAACATGGCGAGATAGTGAAGCCCGCATTTAAATATATAGTAGATGACATATATCGCTCGTTTATTATCCTAATTTGGAATATAGTGATCAAAGTAGTCCCAAATTCAATTCCCCGTAACTTAAGGACAAATGGTCGCAGATGAAGTTTCTTGAGATTTAAACGTCAGTATCCTTCAGGAGGTATGATAAAACTCAACCAAAAAGGCTAGTTCAAAATTGAAAACTGTCTTCCAAAAACAACCGAGCACAAAAATTCCTTCACTTTCATCGCGCGTTTAAAAGCTACAATTTTAAGCTTATAAGTCAAACTATTTACCCAATGCGCCGCAAGAGCTTAGCTGAGCTCACAAATGACAAGAAAATACAGCTAATGCACAAATGTAAGTATATATATGACTATCCATCAAAAAAATATATTCAATATGACTGAGGTAAAATTGCAATTCGAATTGAATTCAGAAGACTAAAAACCAATTCAAAACAGCATGAACTGATGCTTCTTTTTAATTCAGCTGCATTTGCTTCAATCACATTTCATGTTCTTTCGAAAAAGGCTTGCATTGAGTAACTTCGTTGTCGATAACTTCAAATGCATGATAAATAAGCAAAAAAAAACGCCTTAAAACTGGTTTTAATAAAATTTGCGTCAAAAACTTAACGACATTTCTCCTCATTTTACATGATTATTAGGGAGGAATTGGTTAGGGCTGAAACTTATCTATGTGGACTAAAAAACTAAAGTACTATGATTTCGGTTGTCATTTTAAGTAAAGCTAAATATTTTTACAAAAAATGCAAGGTACTTGCTATTCAAGGTTCCACAAGGTTTTCACCTAATGAACCATATATATTGTATGGAAGTCTTTCTCCTCACGGGTAAATATTTCAACGATTTACTCTCCATTTTTTTGTTAAGCGCGGTTACACGAAGTATAGAATATTTTCCGCTTAGCAGGAACAAAGTTCATACAAGTTCATTCATCTCGACGTGTTTTGAAATTTAAAAGCATGTTTTTCGCACTACCATATCAGTTACTACTTGAAGATTTAAGAGAATACATTGAAAATATTGTTTAACTTAACTTAGCTTGCTTTATTTTTCGGCACTTAGATGTCTGTTTGTTCTTCTCAATGCTATTACACCTACGGTTGGAAAACGTTGTAAAGGTTACTCATTCACGTCATATGCAATATACCGGACAACAGTTTTAATCTCAATAAAAACCACAAAACATGATAAAAAGACAGACACTTGATTCGAAACAGATCGATGTTTTTCATAAGCATCAATTATCAAAGAATAATCATGTGGTTCATCATGAATTAAAATGAGCGACATTTATGACAACACTTTAGACTAAAAAGAACATCATAGGCCTTCTTTATTTTGTTACACGTATGAAAATCATTAAGCCATCAAAAAGCTGTCAGTTCGACCAGATGGTTATAAAATACATAATTCAACCATACATACATCAACGATTTTTTTTGAACTTATTACTTCTTAGATAAAAACAGACAACATGCGCCTGATTCTTTCCGCTCGGTAACTTTCGCGTCACTATAAACTTGTTTGAACTTGAATTTGCATGAAAAAAAAAGCATGGAAAACTGTGTTCGTTAAGATGTTTCTGAGCCAATAAAAAAATCACATGTTAAAACTATAAATCAACCAAGCTACAAAAAATAACGCCAAATGCAACGCTCGATTTGCTAATTTTGTACACCAGTTTTTGAACTCAAATTCAAATTTTGCTATGGCAGCCTTAAAAGTTGAAAACGAACCGTAAAAAATAGTATTCATAATTAGTCCTATTTTTTGGGCCTTGAAACTGAATTCAGCTGCATTTGCAAAAAACTAAACAACTGAAATCTGGCCGAAAACGACTTAATTGTTTTTTACGTTGGACAATGAGTTAAGAAATGAACAATCAAAAAGTCTCTTTCAGCCTTGATCAGATGCCGAAACGGTCAACCACATGCGTACCCATCAGCCGCAAGTTTTTTTCAGTTCTAATGCTGACTCAAGGACAAAAAATGAAGTAAAAGTTAACAGCATTGAAACCGTATTTAACCTAATGGAATGCTGGTAACTGTCGGAAATTTAAAAAAAATACTCACTTCATTTTAACTTTGGCATTGGTCCCACTAATACCCAACTTGCTTCTATCGGTAGTTTGCGACCTCAGTCCCATCGCCCTTCCACTTCGATTTGTCGTTTCTCGAGCTTCATCTTGGAACTCAATTTCGTCCAGATATTCTTCCCAAAGTTGGTCCTTCAAATTTTGAACAGCTTTTTCAGTCGTCTTCGCTTTTTTAACTTTCTTTGTTTCAGCTTCAAAACTGCGCTCTAATTCTCTGTTGCTGTGGGAACTACTAGAAGCTGAAGGAACTCTGACTTCCACCTTCGAACCCGTCCTCCTGGATACTGTCTTGAGTTCCAACGTTTGACCGGATGAACCTTTACTCGATGCGGATTTAACTCTAGTTAGAGACGGTGATTCTCTTTTCTCAGATCGACTTGGCGATTTTAAAGACTCACTTTTTGACGATGTGCTTTTGAGAGTAGAGGAGTCTACGCTTCCCGAGCGATGAGAAACGGAACCGGACTGCGACGAACTGGACTCGTACCAACTCCCATCGTCCTGAATTGGCGTCAATTCACCCGATCTCGGTTTGCGCGAGCTCATTTCGGTTTTCTCTGCTATTGACGAGTATTGATTGTCAAAACTAAGATTGCCTCGATTCAAAAAGATTTCAGATACGCCAAAATGACACCATTCATGAATTGATTCACAACTTCATTCACATCTTGATCATCTGAAATTTGAGATGTCTTCAACCTGAGAAAAGTTCGTCCGTTCTGCGACAATATTCGCCTACGATGAGGTGAAAGGAGAGATGATAGAACTAGCTCAGGAAAATCAAACTGATGACACAGAAGAGAAGCAGTTTTATCTAACTCGAGTATGAAAGGTGACGCGTGTGTTTAGAAAGAAGAAACAGTCAATCGGAAAGTCTTTGGTTGTTTTTTTCTGCACTTGCAGTCGTAAAACATGAATGAGATGAGGAAGAAGAATTTGAAGACGATGAGTAATAGATGAATAGGTTAATGAAAGGTTTTCTGAGTTGGAAATTTTTGAAACCAGATGAATAGTTCGAATGGATTTTGTTTGAATTATTTTATTTATTTACCCTTTTGGTTCCTTCTGAAAGTACAAAAAGAAAAAAACTTCGGCAATGCTCTGTAGAAGTTTTTGGCCCTTTTAGGTGCGTTTTTCAAGACTTGAGGGCTCTCTCGGAGTTTTCCCTTAACCTTCCATGTTTAAGAAAAGCACCATGTTTTTGAAACCTGTCTGCTATTTAGCCTGTTTTACATCAATTATTCTCCTTTCTTTGACAACTTTTGTTTATACCTCTTCGGTCAAATTATATGTGAATAGAACTGTCCAGTTTGACGGTTTGAAGTTCTGATTTGAGCAAATTTGAGCAGTTGAATTGTCACATCAATGCTATGGTTAATGACTTATACTTCCAGTCAATTTTCAGCTCAAGCAGAAGTCTATTTAGATATTCTTCGAGGATTTAACTTGATTAGTTGGGGCAAAAACTTTTCATTTTTCCATGTCATAAACTGAACATGCAAAAAATTTATTCCGTTTCCTGTATTTTCTTCGATTTCATTTTTTGCCTTAATATAATAGAAAGCATGTTTCAAAATTTTTCATGCAATTTTGGATAGTAATTAAAACTACTATTGGATAATACAGACACAGGTTTAGGGAACTCGGTCTTCAGAATTGATCCCGTTCCCGCCACATTCAAACAAAACCTCGTATGCATGATTTTATTATCATTTTAAATAGGTTCAGGAACTAAATGTTTGACCCGTTTCAACCAAAACTTGAATAACTTTGATAGTATTTTAAAGCCATTTGATTGCGTCGGTCTGGCTTTCTTAACAAACCACAGATTTCAACTTTGCAAAACAACTGCGCCCTCGAAACCAAATACTGTTTGTATGTGTTTCTAAGGTAAATTTACCACAATGAGGTCTTCGGAGTCGGAAAGCAGGGTTAGGAAAACTCAGCAGTCTCTTAAGACAGCTGTGAGAACTTTCCTAAATGCCTGAGTGTTTGTCTACCTCTATCTAGTTTATTTGAGCAGAGTTTAACGGTAATATGAATAAGGTCATTCATATTAGTTTGAAATGGTAGTTTAGAACAAAAGAAACAAACGATAGAGGAATGACTTACTTCTAGCGAGATTTAAAATGAATCAACCATACAAACTGAATCACACCACCCCCCCCCCCCCGTTGTGCGGTTGATGTTGATCCTAATATTTCTTGTGTTTAAAGGGCAGTAAGATGTTCTAAGCTAAGATGCGAATCTAACTAACATCAAACTTCTAATCTAATCTAACTAACAGGAAAACTTTCTCAAACAAAAGAATTCACAGAACTCGTTTTTAAGTGATAAAAATTAGGTATAGAAAATTGCCTGTCTAGATATGATGGCTAAATGATTTCTCAGTAGTGTTAGTTTCAGAAAAAGTAGTGCAAAATAATTGAAATTCTCTAATTAGTAAATTATTTACATTAAAATTGAGAGACAGATATAATACAGGGAAAAGATTATCTAAAACTACAATATTAATGGTCAAGAAGCTAACAGTTTTAGGAGTCTAATTTTCTAAGCAGCGTGTCAGCTGTAGTGATTGATTGCCAACCTCTTTAATGGTCATAGTCAACTTCATTAACACACCAATTTTACCAAGCACCACAAAAACAACATAAGGATAGCAGAAAGAGCACCAGTCTAACTGGTGGCTTCTGACATCAGAACAACACTGAGACAACTATGCAAGATATTTTTTATCAGGCGCGGATCTGAGATTATCGCAAGTCGCGGATCTGAGATTTTCACAAAAATTGTCGACTTTTTCAAACCAACTAAATTCAATTTCTGACGTGTCGTTATGACCATTAGTGTGTCAATATTCGCTTTCTTTTTTTGGAAACTTCGAAGATTTAGACCATAATAATCTACATTTTGACTATAATAATCTACATTTTGACCATAATAATCTACATTTTGACCATAATAATTTTTCGGCGAGACCCCCCCCCCTAAAAGCTTACGCCAATAGTACCTACAGAAATATTTCAGGATTAATTTACCCTAAATACATTTCGGGACTGGACGGGACGGTTATGGGTTCTGAGTCTTTACCTTTTCCGCGTCTGATAATGATACTCATCGTCAAATAAATTTATGTACGAAAATAAAATTTATGTAGGAAAGTACCAGCAGATCATAGAAGCATTTACCTTTTTAACAGCCAACACAGTTTAAATAACTAGCACATCTGAGACTGAACTAAACCACAGTAGTTTTGACACTTATCATTAATTTAAAGCCTAAATTTATTTAGAAAAACAAAAAACTAAATCAGCAACTTGAAATGTATCAAAAATTTAGGGCACTAGAATCTTGACCTTACTATTGACCTTGATACCCCTTTATATAAAACTTGACCACTCAGAATCCAGCAATTGCTGGGGCATTTGAGGGCTGAACCGACGCTGCTGCAGCTCCTCTGGGATTCTGAGCTTCGTGAATTTTCTTTTCCAACTCACTTTGATCAATTTTTCTCTGCTCGTGTCTTTCCGCCTTCATTCGTTTCCTCTTCACAAACAGAAAAACTCCCACAGCTAAATGAAGAAGCGCTGAAATTGTTGCCCCGATTGCTGATGCTAAAAGCAGTGCGCGTTCATAGCTGTAAACGTAACACAACAGAGCTCCAAGGCCAAGAATTAGCGTCCAAACTACATGTATGAACGATTCAACAAGCCACAAAGTTTCGTCCGATATGCAAGGGAACGGCGCTACAAGTCCAGCTACCAAAAATATAATACAAGTAAGACACGAAGATATTAGACCAGCCTCCAGAAATTTGTACACGCCGTAGTGTTTTTCGAAATGATCTGCAAACTGGAAAATTATTAATGTGACTCCAGCGACCACTATGATGAGCGCCTTGATAATTGATGGAGGGGTGGTGATGCGTTTGGTTACTCTTCGTTTCAGAGCTTCCGTTTTGGAAGCCATTTTTCTGAAATAGAAACTTTGCTCAGTGCTTATGATTTGACATCTAAAAGCCTAGCTATAAAAAATTACTGAAATATAATATGTAATACGTTGCGTTGTTACAAAATCATCATCGAAAACCATCGCTCTTCGAAGTTTGGTATTATTCAAAGCTGAAATAGAAACATTGAAACTAAGAACATAGCTTAATGGCTGGTCTTACGCAGACAAATCGGGTGCAATGGTTTGAACTTACTAAGCTAACTTAACAAAACTGCTCTTCATATATTTGAAAGCTACATGGTAATAAGGGATGCTATCATAGCAAATGGGGAAGTTATGCAACAATAAACAGGCTTCAAGGCACCCAAACTCAATCTGTCGCATCCGATAAGTATGAGCAAGCTTTGCATTTTCATTTATTGAGGATCGGATCTTGGAGAAATTTCATATAGAATAAAACCTGACACTGTGCCCATTTATCCTATTTCAATTAACCCGTCCCGTCGTCTTATATTCTTTCAACTTTTTATCAACAATTACATTTTACTAGTGACCAAGTCTGGTTGATTAACTTGGCTCAAACGCCAATTTTCACAGCAAGTTTCAAAACCACTAATTAGCATCGTGCATCAGAACACTATTGCTACGCCCGACCAATCAAACCACCATGCCTGAAGATGCGCGACTCGATATGGAATTTTTTACAGAAATACTTTTTATGCTTAAAACAGTTCTTTCGTAATTTTTCGGTAAAAACGGTCGGATTAATTTTGCTTCCAATACTTAAGAACATAGCCCACAGGCAGTTGGAAAAGTGCTAATCAACTCAAAAAAGCAGAAAATAATAACTGATTCTTTAATGCGATTTCAATTTTCGAATTTCAAAAAATTATAACAAATTTAAACTTTCAATTTCATCTCTTTATTGACACTTTTTTGAGAGTAACCGCATTTGGAAAACTAAATTGAGGAACAAGCTTTTTTAACCAGCTGGGAAACCTTCTAGCTTTTTGAACCAGCTGAAAAATATCAATTTAAGCTAATGTTTTGTATTTCAGCACAAAATCAGATATTTTCATATTAATCCATTTGCCAAAACATGTCAGAAACCGCCCTTTTTGTTGAAGAACAATATTCATAACCAATTTATCATTACAGCAAACAAACAGCACAAAATCTTGAATCAATACACGGAAGGCCAGTAAAATTCTACCTGTCTAATTAATATTTTAGGCATTTTAAACAAATTTAAAAAAGCCCAAGCCCAGCCTAATAAATATAATTGTTATTATTAGCCCCCGAAACTATTTTCATTTGCACCTTGGGCCTTTCTTCCGAGGGGGAGAGAGATGTCATCCTTTTCGCCGAAGCCGGTCTCAGCTTGAGGAGGCGGATGACACTGGGACCCCTCCAACGAACCCACGACCTTTGTGTTAAAGGCCGAGCGTCTTACGTACTCAGCCACGGCTGCTTCCCAGTCTAATATCATTTAAAGTACATCCAGACTCTTTGCAACAATGTTTTATGAAAACCGAAACGAAGATAAGGACAATAAATGAGAAAATTAAACAGAGCTAACAAGAAAAGTTGCTTGGAAAACTGTAGAACAAGGAAACCAAATTTTTGAAATGATAGAAATTTTCAAAATATTTTCAACTTTGAAAATATATCTCGTTAAAACTCATTGAATTTAAAATCTTTTTGAAAGTTATGCAATGTTG